AAATGGGACTAATCCGGGATGACTCCGGGAGCAATCGCAAAGGAGCATGCGACTAATACCACTTTAGATCTCTTTATATGGAATGAACTGTTCGCTTTTGTTCGAGCATGTCCTATGAAGAGACTAATTGTTCACCTTTATACCCGAACGGGTATAAAAAGCGACTAGTCACTTTTAAAAAATAAAAATAAAAACTTGCGCCAGCTGAGATTCGAACCGGGGTGCTCAGTTTTGTTAGCGAATACTCTCTCTGCGAGCCAACGCCGCACATGAAATTTCATTGACTAAGTGCGTACATATCATTAAATCGTTAATAGTACCCGTTAGAGATGAGTTGGGGACTAATTGATCTTCAATTATACCCATAAGGGATGAGTCGAGACCAATTGATCTCCATTAGTACCCGTATGAGACTAGTTGCAACTTTAGTACTTACGCTCACACTTTCGGCAAATTTGTTACTAAATCTTGCAAGTAGAACTGATTTTGAATTATTTTCTTAATAAATCTTTACAAGCTTTGTTTTTTGCAGCAGGTGCCTCAAAAGATATTTATTCTTTGGACACATATGACTTAAAACTCACTTATTCTAGACTTAATTTCCGCAACTTAACGTAACTTAATATTTTGGGCAACCTGTTATATGAGAAACTGGTAGTTAAAACTTAACTTACCATAAGAAACTTAAGAACCTGTAGATTTTAGGTTCTTAAGTTATGGCCTTACGGAAATTGAGAGCGGTGAGAGAATCAGGGTTGCCAGACTCTCGTTTTGGTATTTCTTTAAGAAAAAATAAATGCAAGCAAACATTTTTGTTTGCCTGATTTTTTTTATGTGACATTTTAGGTGGCGAACTGTTAAACAGCTGAAAGAGAAAATACAAAAACAAAATATTTCCGCTCTTATCTTAATTTGACGTGATTGATGATTTCTTCCTGTAAGTTAAATTAAGTTAAGTCTAGACTAACTGAGCTTTTAAATATGATGCAAACCAAGCGTACGCGCATTTTTTTTTATTCTTGGACTAAGGATCCTGCGTTCAAAGGCTCGTTGTGTAAACACTTGAGGTTACAAGTCTTATTAAAATGTTTGCAATTGCATATGAAAATCCAAATCAGGAAGAGCTTATCTATTGCAATACGCACGTTCGCAAAAGCACTATATTCCTTCTTAGCAGAACGTAATTTAGCATTTTCGACAACAGACATCCTAACCAAATGTCTACAAGAAAAAAAAATAATATTAAAAATAGACGCGGTTCTTTAGCAACTTAAAACTTGCACATTATTACCCTGGAATTTAATGGGCTATCAAACTGCATACTCAAATAAATTCTAAAAAATCTGAATAAAAATTTAAAATCTAGCTGAAAATTTGCGTATGTTTTATAATTTTTGCACAAAGTTTAAAATGTGGATTTATATTGTGTTAGTTATATAATGAGCTAGGCTTTTATTAAAAAATAATGAACATTAAATAAACAAAAGAAAAACAGCCAAAATCGATCAAAATGCTGATCTCAAGTGTATGTATAAAATGATTTTTATATTAACGATCTCAAACCGGTTTACAATAGTGGTATTCACCAAATTGTTGTCAACAGTCGTTGCTTGAGCTCATCTGTTGTTTTGCTAGAGTGCCAGGCCACTTGCTCACTTTGGTGAATACCAGTAATGAATTTTAAATGTGCTCTGTTGAAATGACATGGAAAAGACGTTTTTGGGTAGGAAATGACGTTTTTTCAGACCAAGAGGGTCGTTTTCTCAATCCGAAAGCCTGGCAACACTGTTGTACACATAACACGATGATTACGCTCTTTGAGCGTGTGCTCGATCTCTGCCCATGCCTGGTCTAGACTTAATTTCCGTAACTTTATTTAACTTAATATTTTGGCCAACCTGTTATATGAGAAACTGTATTGGCGGTTAGTTAAAACTTAACTTACTGTAAGAAAAGCTACGTTAAAGTTACGGTCTGCCGGAAATTGAAAGCGGTGAAAGAATAAGACTGGCCAAGCTCACGTTTTTGTATTTCTTAAAAATAAATGAACACAAAAATTTTTGTTTGTATGCATTTTTTTGATGTGGCATTTTGGGCGGCGAACTGTTAAACAGCTGAAAAAGAAAATACAAAAACAAAATAGTTCCGCTCTTGGCTTAAGTTGACGTGTTGAGCACGGTTGCCACTTTGGTACAGTTTTACCAAAAATGGGCCTTTTTTCTCTGTTTGGGCCTTTGGGCCTTTTTGAAGCAACTATGGCTATCCGTTCGTTTGGGGATAGCGAGAGCTCTCCGTTTGGTTGAAATAAAAGGTGTTCTCACGAGGGTTGCACGAAAAAACAGTTGAATGGCTAAATTTTGGCTGGCGACCAACTTTGTTGAATGCGATTAGCAGAATGCTAAGTTGAACAATGAAAACACCTTTTTATGGCGAATATTTTGATAGTTTTTTATATTTTGATATTACTAACCATAAAATTTGTTTTTTTTCGTGCAACCGTGCGCGAGTTGAACGCAAAAGTTTCCTGAAAAATCGCATCGTGCGAAAGTCCTAATATGCAGCACTCGCTGCAGGTGTTCCGTTTGTTCTGTTAATTGTTATCGCCGTGGAATTCTGACAATCGCTACGCCAAAATTCTCTTAATGAAAAGCAGTCGGGCCTAAAGGTATACAGCAAAGAAAAGTAATAGCTGACATGTGTAATCAATAAACAGCTGATTTTTATGCAGAAAACGAATTCTATAAATATGTACCACGTAACTATAAGCAAAATAAATAAAACTAGGTTAGAGATAAGCCATACAAAACTCGAGCCTCCTTAATATGTAATTATAAAATAATCTCAGCTTAAACCGATAACTTTTCGGTGTCCAACCTAGTTTTATTAATTATTTTTGCGAAGAGGAGAAATGTAGATGTAAACAAAAATGGACGCTAGCAAGGAGAAGAGGTTTGTAAAGGTATTTTTAATAAAATATTACATTAAAATATATTAGAATTGCTTAATATAGCAGAAAAATTGATTCACAGAGACGAAACTTAACTTTTCTTTGAGATGTGGGAATAACAAGCACAGCAAATTTGATGGTTAATAACCTGGTATTTGCCTGTGTAAACGGGAAGATTAAAGACGAGTTTTGATTGAGATTATATTTATATGTAAACACAAAGGGTATTCAAACTATACTCGTTAAAGTCTTAATTCGGTATTCGGTAACTCGCACCATTGTTTTGTTTTTGTAAATTACCGAATATATCATTACCTACTTAACGAGGTGGCAAGTCTGATAAAGTGGTAACACACGCGTTAAAAGGTCGCTGATTCCTTTCTGTCACTTATTTGCTGGAATTTTCTCGCATGAAAAGTGCATACATTTTATCATAAGTTCAATAAATCTTTCTGGCGTGGAATTAATAAATGTTATACATAAGTAAAAGAACTTCACATCAGCTGATTCAAAAGTAATTTTAACCAGAAAAAGAATAAGGGGAGTTCGAAATTGAAAGTGTTACCGAGTTACCATATAACGAATTAATACATTAACGAGGATAGTCTGAATACTCTTATACATATTAGAACAAGGTGTACACTAAGATTTAACACTGCTGTATAGGCACAAATGCAAACAGATACATATGTAGAGAAAATTTATTTTTTTACACGAATTGAAAATATTGCGATTTTTGTTAACGTTTAATGTTATAAGTGAATATATATATATATATATATATACATATTTAATGGACGGCGAAAAATTGCACATTTTATTTTATTTTGAGCCTTTTTACTTGGATATTGTGGTACACAAAATTTTGATAAAGTGGCAACCGTGATGTTGAGTAATCATTGATGATATCTCAGGGTAAGTCAAATTAAGTTAAGTCTAGACTAACTGAGCTTTAAGTATTTTGCAAAGTAAGTATAATAAATAGTAATTATTACGTTACATTTGTGCCTGTACATTCTAAAAAGTTCATATAAAACTACTACTGAAAAATGTCTATTTTTCAACCAGAATCTGTATAAATTTTTATACGCATAAGATGTTCTAGGTTTGATTTTGAACATGAGATCTCTAAGATATGCCAATAAATATATACATGAAATGTTTAAAATTTAAAAAATTTTGAAACTAAAAATACATTTCCTACTAATAATAAACATTAAGGGCTCATATTTAGAAAAAGAAGAAGAATAAACATTTTATATGTGATTTTTCTCTTCGCAACAAATCTGGTATGTAAAAGTAAACAGGCGGTGTGTAAATTTGCACACAGTAAAAAAGGAAACCCTCTCTTAATATGCGCAAATTTAAACAAAAATTTTTTAGAGTGTATATAAAATTGTTTAGTAAAATTCATACTAACTTCCTTAAATAAATCACATTTAGCTTTTTAATAATTGTATTTTAAACTACATTGAGATCATTTTTCTTTTTAAATTAACATTTAAAAAATAAAGTAGGTTTAAAGAGCTTTATAAATTGACGTTTTCATACATTTTTCAATTTGTAAACCTTTTATAAAGCGACTTTATTTTTTATGAATAAGGCCATTACTTTATATATATAGTTACATATATATATATATATATATATATATATATGTATATTAAGATATTGCTTAAAGCATCTTTTTGGCTAATTAAAACTAATGAAAACCATTGCGCGTATACCTACTTTGGTGACATCTCTTCATATGTTCATTGCTTCGTTCACAAAAAATAAAATGCTTTAATTTCACGCCTTAGTAGTTATTTTTAATACATTTAGAAAACATAATGCTTTCTACCATCTTTAATGAAAATCGATTTTTAAACGAAAAAAACTTTATAGAAATCTAAAATTTTGGCCTTTTTAAAAAGTATCCACATTCATACTGACTGGAAAAAATAAGTATCTCGCAAAAATTCGTCTAAAAATCTATCCAATAGCTCCTATTTAGATCAAAACGGCAACCCTGAATGTCAATAGTGTTTGCTTGGGTTTATAAGTAGCCGCCTTAATAACTGTTGGACTTATTCGTAAAAAGGTTTCGCGCAGATTAGACGTTTTCCACAGTTTTATCCGCTAAAGAAGGTATACAGCAAGAGTTTGAAGATTCAAAAGTAGCAGTCAAGAGAGAATACGGTAGTAGTCAAAAGAGAAAGAAGTAGCAGTCAAGAGGGAAAGAGAGGTAGAGTGAAGAAGTGAGTGCAAAATGTGTAAAAACAAGAAAGTTTTCAAAGATGCTAATTCGTAACCGGTAAAACCGACTTCAGTGATTATTTTATATTTTTTTTTTGTAACATCTGAGATGACACATGAAATTACAACTCACCTAAAGATTTACATACATACGTCATGAAAAAATCATATACAACTGTATTACGTTCATACTTCGTATGTGTGTGCCTGCATATGTGCTTTCAGATTTTGCCAAGTTCAGTTAACTATACTCATAGGTAATGAAAGTGCGTCGCAATTTTGATTTTTTGCTTGATGCGCGAATCCTGTTTACGTACAAGCGCCCAAAAACTAAAGGCCAGTTTAAAAAAATTGAACAAAAAGTTGGTACTACTTAATTGGTTTTTGTCAACAGCAAAGTTAAAGTTAAAGTCAAATTTGCTGAAATTATAAGTAAATTTTATGTAGTGCGTAAACATACATATCGTCGTCTTAAGTACAAAACGGCGCACAGTGGCACAGTGGGGCAAAAAAGGTTGCTGTGGACAAATCAATTTTAGAGCCCAAATATGAACCGATTTCATGTTTCTTTTTTTAAATAAAAGATAATTAAATTTCGCGTTGTTCTATCCATGGCGATTTTTAAAAAAAGTTTTAGTTTTCTATTTATTTATGTTGAAAAATGAAAGAAAAAAAGTTTTACGTTTTAATGCTTCCACTTTTTTGGAAAATACTTGAAATTAATTTCAAATGTCTGAAATTATTTGAAAAATTATTGATAAACATTTTTCCATAGGATACATTTAATTAAAAGACGCATTTGATTTGTTATCTATACTAATATATATGATTTATCGAAATTGCTTTTCATCTGTTATCATCCCTGGATAGTCTGGAGTCGATGTCCAAAATTTCAAAAATATAGGTACAGCTGTTCTCTAGTTTTTCGAACAGAAAAAAGCGAAAAAACTTTTTTTAATTAAATGCATCCTATGGAAAAGTGTTTATGAATAATTTTTTAAATAATTGCTGGCATTTGAAATTAATTTCAAGTATTTTCCAAAAAATTGGAAGCATTCAAACGTAAAATATGTTTTCTTTAATTTTTCGACATAAATAAATAGAAAACTAGAGGTTTTTTGAAAAATCGCCACGGATTGATCGACGCGAAATTTAATTATATCTTATTTAAAAAAAAAAGAAACATGAAATCGGTTCATATTTGGGCTGTCAAAATTGATTTGTCCACCTCAACATTTTTTGCTACTGTGCGGCGCACTATAGGCAAAACACGAGTTTTTTTTTCAAAATCGTAGATCTTCGCTTAGAAAAGAGATAATGGAATTAAAATTTTTTTATCGTGAAGATAAATGATCATATAATGTAGGAAAACTAAAGAAAAGTTACAACAACAATAACTAACCCTCAAAATACCGTTCAAAATTTTGGATTTTGGCTCCCATTCCCCTAGAAAATACTATACTTGGTGTATGGCACTGTTTCTGAAAGATTTCTCTTTATTTTATCTTAAGACTCGATTTTTGGAACATTGGATGCTGTACCCGAGCTTCCTTTAAACTCTAATTAATTAATTAATTAATCCCAACGGCTTTTTACCCTCCATTCCCGCCCAACCGACACGAGGGGCGCAGTCCGCATGACGTACGGAACCTTTTTTTTAGTTTTTTGGTGCCGAGTAGTGGAAACAGGAGTTTGTTAAGTGTCGAGATCTAAAACTATTCACCTACAGAATCAAATTCATCAGCTGATTGGATATGCTAAGGATAGTATTTCAATTATTGAGAGTGGAAATAATAGTTATCTTTATAGTAAAAATCGAGTCCGATACGTCAAACATGCTGGAATGACAGTTAAAATTCTGACATAAACCACGGAATGATTCGTTTAGTTCAAAATTAGTTTTGCATGGCTTTAAAAATAGAGGTCGAAAGTGTCTTGACACTCGAGAAGGAACATTAAAATTTACCTCAGCCAGGAGGGCCGGGCTATTAATCAAGCCTGTCATTAATTTTACGATAAATATTATACCCAGCATTTCTCTACGACTTGCGAGTGTAGGCAAATTTATGAGCTTTAGACGACTTGTGTAAGGGGGGAGATTGTAATCTGAATCCCAGTTAAAATTACGCAATGCAAAAAGCAAGAATTGTTTTTGAATTGATTCAATCCTTTCTGAATGAACTTGGTAGCGGGGATTCCAAACAATAGATCCGTATTCTAGTATAGGTCTAACTAAACTGGTAAAAAGAGCTTTTGTAACATAAGGATCTTTGAACTCTTTTGACCATCGCCTTACAAATGCAAAAACGCCTTTGGCTTTATTGACTGTAACATTAATATGATGGTTGAAATTGAGTTTGGAATCCATTGTGATACCAAGATCGACAAAATTGGATACCTGCTCCAGATTATAATTTGATATTGAATAAACAGCTGGTTGAACAGCCCTCCGAGAGAAACACATAACTTTACATTTTTGAAGGTTTAGTGGCATATAGTTTGTATTACACCAACTAACCACGTTGTTCAGATCCGCTTGTAACAAAGACCTTTCTTCGATAGAGGACAATGTTTTAAAAAGTTTCACATCATCGGCATACATTAAAATTTTTGAATGTTTTATTATAGAAGAAATATCATTAATGAATATCAGGAACAGAATCGGACCAAGGTGGCTTCCCTGAGGAACTCCTGAAGAAACTTTAATGATGTTGGAAGAACAATTATTAACAATAACTCTTTGTGTTCTATCAGAGAGGTAAGATGAGATCCATTGAAGAAGACTGGGCTGAAAGCCGATTAGGTCGAGTTTACGGATGAGTAACGAGTGACATACTTTGTCAAAAGCTTTACTGAAATCGGTGTATATTACGTCGGTATGAGCATTTTCTCTAAAACCGTTTGAGACATGAGTTGTAAACTCCAATAAATTAGTCATAGTAGATTTTCCTTTAGAAAACCCGTGTTGAGATTGTGTAATTGAAGAAGATATAGAATATGTCAGCTGGTTAACAATAATTGCTTCGAATAATTTGGGGATAGCGGAGAGTCTCGCTATGCCTCGATAGTTTTCTATAGACGACCTGCTGCCGTTTTTGTGAAGTGGTATTATGAAAGACTCCTTCCAGGCTGACGGAAAAACGCCATGTTTAAGTGACAAATTGAATAGAGTTGTTAAAGGCTCGCAGATGTTCTCAGCGCAGTTTTTAAGAAAACAGGTCGGAATATGATCAGGTCCAGGCCTAAATGACGCTTTTAAGGTTTTTAAAGAGTGTAAAACTTCATCGGAAGATATTACTGGAATATAAGCAGAGTTGATTGGACAAAGCTCGTACGGATAGTCTCCACTTATAGGGAAGTCTACAGAATAATTGGACCTAAAGAACCGAGCAAACATGTTGGCAATGAGTTGGCTGTCGCTAGATACAGTGTTGCGATAATGCATAGCGGACGGAAAACCATGTGCCTTACGCTTTGAATTTACGAAACCATAAAATGATTTAGGATTGTTAATTAAATTCTTCTTAATTTTACATAAATATGAATTATAACATTTCTTATTTAATGCAAAGTAGCTATGCCGCAAAACTGAGTACCTTAGGTAATCACTGTGTAAGCCCGTTCTTTTATACAGTTTAAAAGAGTGCGACTTTTTATTTTTCAATTTTTTAAGCTCTTTAGTGAACCATAATTGTATTGGTTCTTCATGAACAATATTACGTATTGGCACATACTTTCGAAACAAATTGAAAACAGTATCATTAAAGTGCTCAACGCTACGCTCCACGTCATCTCTATATATTGGCCAAGATAACTTTGAAAGTTCTTTGTTAATTTTCCTGAAATTTGCTTTCGCAAAAACATATCTAGTACTTGAACTTGACTTATTATTATGTATTTCATTTATGATTTCGTAGCTTAACTCAAGAGCAGGATGGTATGCATCTTCCGGCAAAACTAGGGGATCACACCGATTAATAGAGGCCTTCGGAACATCATCAACGTAAACGAGATCCAAGACCTTTCCAAACTTATTTGGACATATATTTATTTGTTTGAGGCAAAGTTCAGCCATTTCCTCCAGAAATACATTGTAACTATCTCTAGATGAAACTGGTACAACATCGGTGTCAATGATGTTCCATGAAATATGTGGCAGATTTAAATCGCCCAAAACAATCATAGAATCGGATGCCGTAAGCATTGCATTTACGGTCTCAAGTAAAGAAACTAGCTGCATATATACCGATACGGCAGAATTAGGAGGGATGTAGCAAAGAGCTAAATAAATATAAGTCTTTCCAGCCTGTACACGTATACATTTAAATTCGGTATATTCAATGACAGGAAGACTAACTTCCTCGGATGGTATCGATGAATGCACCGCAAAAAGAACACCACCGCCGATTCTGCCCACGCGGTCACTCCTGTATATTTGATATTCATTTGGAAGAATTTCGGAATTAAAAATATGAGGTTTGAGCCATGTTTCGGTCAAGGAAATAATATTATAATTGCAGTCAAAACCTTTTAAATATAAGTCAGTTAATTTGGTATTCAAACCTCTAACGTTTTGATAGTAAATACTTAAATTAGACTTGCGAGTTAGTTTTTTGAATCCGAATTAAGATTAGAAATTTTAGCTACGTTATTATTACTTTTATTAGGTTTATACTCAAACTCGCGAACAAACGCCCCGGTCGGCCAAAATGAACTATTTAGTAGTGAATCAAAATCTTCGGAAGCTACATCAATTTTAAAAGATGAAATATCGCGATCGTATTTAAAATTAAATTTACGAATAAATACATCTTTAGTTCTAATTTTAGTCGATATGTATGACTTTATATCATCCGAAGAAGTATCTTTAGCAAATCTAGAGACAAAGATTGATCTTCTCGGAGGAATTACAACCAACTTTTTGGTAATGATGTCTGATGTGCGGGGCTCCGAATTATTCGGAGGAACTAAGTTAGACAGTGGAGCTTGAGATGTTGATGGC